GCCTGGTCCCGGGCCGCAGGTTGGGCCGGAAGGAGCCAGTTTGTGCCTGGGCCCGGCCAGGCCACCCGCTCTTGCTTGTTTAGGCAGCAGCTCTCAGATGTAGAGATTAAGTTCCAGGCTGACTGAGGGCATCGGGGTCCTTGTAGCTTCTCTGTATGTAAGCGTGATTTACGTTTTTATGAAAAGGAACCTCAGTGTTTTGTGTCGTGATAAAATCAGGCTTAAACCTTTATCTGTTCGTCTGGGTGTGAGAATTACTTAAAAGGCTCATGATTGTAGGTTCTTGTCGTCAGACTAGACTCCCGTTGTTGGCTGTATCTAAGATGTAATTGGTATTTGTTCCAAAAATGTCTCATAAAGTTGATTTTGAAAATACCAGGAACTTGGGTTGAAAAAAATCAAGCGCTGTCGTCTAAGAAATTGCATTCCCACGTTGGTTATTTTAATTCGAATGAGAATTTAAGAAAGCACTTACAGGGTTTTCATATGTCATTGCAAAAAAATGATGCTTAGTAAATGTAAATAAAATAATTGATCCTAGCTGTACTTTGCAGGTTCTTTTTTTTTTGTCAGAGGAGGAAAGTTGATCCCAATTGTATACAATTAAAATACTTTCCTATTTTGTATGCCTATTCTATTTAAGCATGATTTCTGATGTCAATTTCTTGAATGGTTACGTTACAAATCTGACCGCAACATTGTGCCAATAATTAAGAAAAACCTTTCCTGGAAAAGTACAAACCTATAGAGAACGCTTTTATAATTGGTGGACAAGATTTGAAGTATAATAATATTAACAATGATATGTAATATATGTGTTGAATGCCTAGAGAGGTTAAGGTGATAATGATGATATCATTATTAATAATTGTAATAGTTGTTAAAAAAATAATAACACCTGGTATTCTGGTTTTACCTTACATCAGAATTGAAGATCTGTTGGAAAACTTCCAAGATCATAAAATTTAGATGACCAAAATGGATATCCGTGGTGCCGTGGATGCTGCTGTTCCAACCAACATTATCGCTGCCAAGGCTGCAGAAGTTCGAGCGAACAAAGTGAACTGGCAGTCCTATCTTCAGTAAGTACGGACTTGCTGTGAATCATGGGTAATCATGTGCTTTTGCATCAGACTTTTTCATGGTCATGCTTCTGTGAGAGAAATATTGGAAAAATACTAATAAATGTGGAAGAAAACACTTCCTTCTTAGAGCTTGCGGCTCTAGTGAGGAGCAGAGCGGCTCAGGGCACTTTTGACCTCTGGAAAGTTGTGCTTTTTCAGTGAGCGAGAAACCATGGGATGAGCATTAATGGACTATGGAGGGAGGAAGAGGATAACGTGTAGAGCCTGCTTCGGGCTCAGGGTGCCTTGGTGATCAGTGTGGGGACAGATGGTGTTGCAGAATAGCGCATTCAGCTAGTAAAAAGCGTAGATGTTTGAGCTCAACACCTGGGTTGGCCTTCTGGTTCTGTGTACTAGTTTGGTGGTCTTAGGCAAATTCTCTTCTCTGAGGTCCATTAAAGTGAATGTGAAATGGGGATACATATACCACAAGTTTTTATTTTTCTGAAATAATGTATTTAAAGTACTAGCACAGTAGAATACAAGCGTTAGTATGTTGAATAAATTTCAGTAAATTTCAGTTTCTCCCCTTCTTGTGTATATTAAGATTTATCATGGCGTTGTTCTGTATTTATCTGTAACGTAAGTGTTCATTTATTCTTGACCATATTTTATCATATTGACTTTACTTCATATCTATTTATTTTGATATATTTATAACAGTGAGTTATTAGGAAATTCAATTTAGATTTGCATATACATTTTGAAAAATAATGTGAGGATCTTTAGATTTACTAGTATATTTAGCAGTTTGCTTTATTGAAAGGATATACAGTGTACAAAAATGATCCGTTTAGTTCTGTTAATCTCATCACTTATCAAATGTTTATTCACTGACTGCCAAGTTTGAGGCATTTTTTTCTGGGCTTTGGAGCTAAACTCATAATTTACTAGGGAAGTCAGATATTTAAACATTATTTTAATTCAGTATGTTAATTGCAATAATAGAAAGGTGCACAGGGAAGAGAAAGGTACACAGAAAATGATGAGTGTACAGAAAAAGAACAGCTAATCCTTCCTCTAGGAAGTTTTCCTGAAGGGGATTTTCAAAGGTAGGGAATTAAAAATAGCATTCTGGGTGGGGAATAATTCATGTTTTGGCAACAGGCAATGGGGTGAGCTGAGGCTGGAGAGGCAGCAGGAGCCAATCGGGAGGGTCCTGTGTGCTATCAGAAGGAGTTTGGACTTGATTCTGTCAGTGCTTTTCAAGCTGATTCTTAAGCTGTGAAATCCATGGTTGATGTGAAGTTCAGTAAGGAAGCTCAGCATGTAAAACAGATGCAGATGAAAGTGATGGTTGAATGGAGGTAGGAGTGTATGTCTCAGAGTCATCTTTTGAGACCACACTTAATAGACTTATTTGTGGAATCTAATGAACAAAATGAATTGACCAACAAAATAAGACCCGAAGCATGGGGTCATGGAACAGACTGACTTACCTCAGTGTGGGGTTAGAGGGCGAGAGGAGAAAAAGCAAAGAACTTACATACTTATATGCATAGCCCATGGACACGGCAATTAGGGCAGTGAAGATCTGCGAGGGTGGGTAGGGGTTGGGAGGAAGGGAGTAAAGGGGAGGGGGAAACGGGAGATATCTGTAATACTATAAACAATACTATAAACAACAAAAATATATTAAAAAATAAAATTACTGTTGTAGTTATTAGAAACAACTGAAGTGTGTAAAGTGGGAATTAGATGATCAGATTTACCTTTGGTTGGATTGTTCTACTGGCAACGTAGAGGATAGATTTGGGGATAATAAGCCCAGAGCTAGGGAGACGCTGTGGCAGTATTCGGGTTGTTGGTATGCATAGAATTGGATAGATTTGAGAAAGTCTTTGTGATTAATTTGATGTGTGAGTTTGAAGAAGAATCTAGGCTGACTTCTGGCTTCCCGGAAGGGAATGGGTTATTGTAGGCCTACGGACTCCAGGGCAGCAGGAGGAGGGACTTTCTGATGTTTCCTTTATTCACCTATATCTGTGTAATTGTTTAAATCCCCTGTAAAATTAGGATTGTGAGCTCTGTGTCCTAATTTTATTTCAGAGTACATTTAGACTAGAGCGCAAGGAGTTTCATGTTTATAAAGCCTGATTCTGTTTATAACCTAAATAGAATAATATTGCTATTGATCATAAAGCACTGGCTGACTGGCAGAAGTTGTGTAGCGTTGGAATTTGGAACATTTTTAGTTACATGGAGATTTTAAATTGCTTTCCCTTCTGTTCCTCTTGTTCCAAGGCCTCCATACTTTATAAGTTGGATTCTCCCTTTTTCCTATTTTCTGTCCGTTATTCAGTTGTCCATCTCATGAATTTCTTTCCTAAAACTCCTCTGCTCTGTATGTCTGCGCACAAATGTTCACCAAATGTTAACTGTGTGCCTGCTGTCAAGCTGTTGGTTGTGGGGACACCAGTGGGTGTGAAAGCTTACAGATTGATAGGGGCTGGACACAACGTATGAATTATCAGTGAATCTTATATCATATTATATTCCGATAAAATAAAACCTGTGGAAGAGTTCCCCAAAGTCAGGAGGCCATAATAATATGATAATGCTTCATCCCTCACAATTAACATGTTATTATGAAGATACAGTGTTTAAAAAATGTATTTATATTTGATTCAACCTTTTCTTTATCATTCACCTAGACAGTACAGACAGTGGAACCTCGGTTCTCAAACTTAATTCATTCTGGAAGGCTATTTGAGAAGCCATTTATTTGAAAATGGAATCATTTTTTCCCATTAGAAATAATGTAAATTGAATGAATCTACTCCAGATCCCAATGATTCCCTGTTTTAACCTTTCTTATATACAGTACATGTCTAATGTACTGTTTAATCTATAAATAAACACTTTGAAAACAAAAAGGACATGAAATATAAATGAAAATTTAACAAAAAGGAAATGAAATGTACAGTAAAAAAATGAAAATTTACATACACACTGGAACTTACCTTTAATGCTGAGAGCTGTTGATGACTGAATGTGGAGAGGAGGGACCGAGGGATGTTATTGTTTGGGAGGGGAGTCCCCTTTCGTAAAGACGCCAGGTAGCTGTTCCTCTGGGCTCTTTCTCTCTTTTGTCCCCTTGCTCCACTAGAACAGTGATGAAGCTGTCCTCTTTCACCAACGTGGCCTCCAAGCCTCGGAAATGGGCACCAGCGTTGTCCGTTACGAGAAGTGCCTGGAATGGCAATTGTTTTTCCCAGCGGTATTTCTTCACACTTGGGCAAACACTTCATGAATCCACTCACTAAAAAATTGCCTGTTTACCCAGGCTGTGCTATTAGCCCTCCACATCACATTCAACTTATTCTTCATGACATCATTTTTCTTGAAAACTCACGGGTGTTCAGAATGGTAAACGAGTAGAGGCTTCCTTTTGAAGTCCCCACTTGCATCCCCAACAGTAACATCAGCCGGTCCTTCACTGGCTTATGTCCTGGCAATGACTTCTCCTCCTGTGTGATGTAGGTCTTCTTTGGTGTTTTCTTCCGGAAGAGGCCTGTCTCATCACAGTTGAACACCTGTTGGGGAACAGATCCCTCGGCCTCTACATATTCTTGAAATTCTGTCACGAAATTAGCAGCAGCTACTTTGTTAGAACTGGCAGCCTCCCCATGCCTCACTACACTATGAATGCCACCTCTTTTCTTACATTTATTGGCCTTAAACCAATCACTTTCAACACTCGTTTCAGGGGTGTCTTTCAGGAGGTCTGTATGCAGCATCTTTGCCTTTTCACATATCATTGCCTTCGAAATGCTATCACTGGCTAACTGCTTTTCATTTATCCAAATCAACAACAATTTTTATACCTCTTAAATTGCCTGTGATTGTTGTTTCGTGAGCACTTTCACACCCTTAGCAAAATCAGCACTCTTGATGGCCTCTTTATGTTTTAAAATTGTGCTAATCATAGATTTCACCTTGCCATACTTAGTAACCAGATCAGACACATGGACACTTCTATCATACTTTGCAATTACTTCTTCTTTTTTTTTTTATACTTTATTGATTTTTTACAGAGAGGATGGGAGAAGGATAGAGAGCTAGAAACATGGATCAGCTGCCTCCTGCACACCCTGCACTGGGGATGTGCCCGCAACCAAGGTACATGCCCTTGACCGGAATCGAACCTGGGGCCCTTCAGTCCACAGGCCGACACTCTATCCACTGAGCCAAACTGGTTAGGGAACAATTACTTCTTTTTAAAGCTCTATCATTCTCACAACTTTCCTTTTCACTTCGCTGCTATAACTTAAACTTCTTAGGACCCATGGTGATTTACTATATTTAATAATAATAAACAGCAACAAAAGCAAAAAACCATGAAAATATTCACAGGACAATTTCCTGAGATTTTAGCAACATGAGGTGTAGCAGTAAACTGACTCATATTCATGCATTCTCTTCTTTGTCACCTGAGGGTTGGTGGGTTGAGAACCGAAGTTTTGTTCAACAACCGAGACATTTTTCCATGAACAACTTGGTTGAGAACTGAATTGTTCGAGATGGGAGATGTTTGAGAACTGAGGTTTGACTGATAAAGGAATAGGTGTGGCTATATTCCAGTCAAACTGGAATCCAGTAAAACTATATCCTGAGAATATGAGAATCATAAAATATTGTCCTTCCTCTTCATGTTAAAGTTTAATAAAGACACAAACTCTTAACTAAAAAATTAAATAATAAATGTGGTAAGCATTAAAGTGGAGAGATATAAAGTTTTCTCACACAAGAAAAGAGGGAGCACATAATGGCCTGGGAGCAGTGGTGACGTCTTTACAGAACACATCAAGATACTTGTAGGAGTTGTCTAAGCAGAGGAGCTGGGGCCTGCTGTGGAGGAAACCCAGGCAGGAAGCTGAGACTTGGAAGAACTTGCAGTGCTGGGGGCTGTTGGTAGTTTGGTGTGGCTCCCTGAAGGCTGCTGCGGGCCAGTTTGCGGCATCTGCATTCACCTGTTTCGTAGGTCAAAAACCTAGGAGTCATCTTGACTCTTCTGTTTTCCTAACAACCCACATCCCATACATTAACAAATTCATTTAGTCGTACATCCAAAACACGTCCCGGATCTGACCATTTTTCTCTCGTTCCACTGTTGCCACCCTAGTGCAGGCTGTCATCACGTCTCATGTGCTCTCTTGTTAAAGTTCACCGAGTGGGTGGCTCTGCTTCAACTGTTCTCCCAAAGCAGCAGTTCTTTACAAAGGTGTGAGATGAGAGTCATTTCAAAAATATTAATGAGATCGGGTCACACTGCTCAAACCCTCTAGCTTACCCTGCCGTTCTTGCTCTTTTTCACACAGCAAGCTAATTGCTGCTCCAAGCTCTTTGGACTGGCACTTCTGTCTCTCTGAAGTTCCTCCCAAGATTACTTGGCTCATTAAGTCATTTCATTCAGTTGTCTGTGCCGGTGACTTCAGAAAGGCCTTCTCTGAAATGCAACTAAAATATGTTATTTTCTAGCTTCTTACCGGCCTTAGTTTTTTTCATAGTGTGTGTGTGTGTGTGTGTGTGTGTGTATTTTTTTTAAAAAAAAGTATTTATTTTTGTCTTTGTATATTTTCCCCACTGGAATGCAAGCACAAAGAGGGATGTCTAATTTATTACTATGTTGCCTGTTATTAAAGGTATTAGGCACATAGTAGGCTGCCAATTAATATTGGCTGATTCAATCATGAATGAGCAGAGTACTTGTTGGAAAGTGGTGGAGATGAGTGTTTGGAAATGAGAGTAACATACTTGGTAAGTAACATACTCTTTCACAAAATTTTTAAAAAATATGTTTGTATTGATTTCAGAGAGGAAGGGAGAGGAAGAGAGAGATAGAAACATCAATGATGAGAGAGAATCATTAATCGGCTGCCTCCTGCACACCTTGAAGAATAAAGGTCCATTGAAGAAGGGACTCCTGAAAGTAGGAGGACACAGGATAGTGTAGGGTGATTGCTGGAGGACAGGGGTCAGGATGGAAAAGTTATTTTTTTCCCAGAGGAGGAGGACCACATTTTCCTGAGTCTGGAGGAAAAGAGTATGCTGGAGAAAATTATCGTAGAGGTGTATATAAAGTATCTTTAGTCTTGATGAATTAGAAGGCCAAGTAAATTGTTTGGCTTGGGAGGGGACTAAAGGTAAGGCTTTGGTTAGTGCGAAGAGGTGGCATGTTATTAAGTTATTACTATGGGCCAGGCATTGTACTAACCACCCCATGTGAATTGTGTAATTTCTTCTACAGTTCAACCCCTTAAAAGCCATGTGGTTATTGTTGCCATTTTGCAGGTAAATTAACTCACTCCCAGAGAGGGCACGTGATTGTGATCGGTAAGTGGTGGAGCTGGGCTTTGAACTTAGGTCTCTTTGATGGCAGGGCCCATGTGTCAACCCTCATGTTTACTACTAAGGAGAAAGGAGAAAGGCTGAAATTCCTCATAGTGGCTATTCAACTCTTACTGAACAAAACAACTTGTTCTTACTTTCCAGGGGACAGATGATTTCTGCTGAAGATTGTGAATTCATTCAAAGGTTTGAAATGAAAAGAAGTCCCGAGGAGAAGCAAGAAATGCTTCAAAGTGAAGGCAGTCAGGTGATTGATGTAAACATTATATCGTGAAAACTTCCCCATGTCGTTAAAAATTCTAGAAATGTTTTTTAATGAGTATGTGATATTCCATTGAAGGTACACATCATATTTTAACTACAGATCCTTTTTTATTGGAAAAGTTGTTTTTTTAAAAAAATATATTTTATTGATTTTTTACAGAGAGGAAGGGAGAGGGATACAGAGTTAGAAACATCGATTCAGCTGCCTCTTGCACGCCCCCTACTGGGGATGTGCCCGCAACCCCAGGTACATGCCCTTGACCGGAATCGAACCTGGGACCCTTGAGTCCGCAGGCCGACGCTCTATCCGCTGAGCCAAACCGGTTAGGGCTATTGGAAAAGTTTTTGAGTAACTTCCAGTTTTCTTTGTTAATTTTGGAACAAGTGTTATATTGAATATGTTTATTCTTTTATCATTTTCTGCATTTCTGAAAATCTTCTTAGAATAGATTTCTAGAAGGGAAATTACTGTTTCAAAGTATATGATACTTTTAAAGTTACTGGACTTTTTTTGTAGAAAAAATAAACAGTTCCACAGTCCATCAGATTTTCTGATATGGGACCTTGATTGGCTGAAGGAGTGCATATACAACTCAGTCTGATTCTCACAACAATTTGTTATGCAAATTTCTGGGAAGTTTGGGAAGGAATGTATTGTTGGTACCAGTTTTATTTATTTATTTATTTTTTGGTTAATCCTCACCTGAGGATATTTTTCCATTGACTTTTAGAGAGAGTGGAAGAGAGGGGAAGAGAGAGAGAGAGAGAGAGAGAGAGAGAGAGAGAGAAACATCAATGTGAGAAAGACACATCGATTGGTTGCCTCCCACACGCACCCCAACCAGGGCTGAAGCCTGCAACCGAGGTGCGGTGCCCTGGACCCTTCAGTTCGAAAGCTGATGCTCTATCCACTGAGCCAAATTGGCCAGGGCTGTTGGTACCAGTTTTTGTTGAATTCCAGAGAGATTGTTACACAGTTGATAAATTGAAGAATGGAGACAGGTCAAAGCCTTCTGATTCCAATTCCCAGCACCTTTGTTGTTCTGCTTCCTAGTAAACACCAAAATAATATTTAATTGTCTACATAACTTAATCTTTATGTTGTCTTGGGTAATCAAGAGTTGATAGTGGCTAGGCCTGTCTATTTAAAAATGGTAAACGTTTTGAAATTTGTCACTAGAAATGAGTAAAAATCTGATGCAACTCATAGTATGGGTTTCCTATAACTCATCATAATATTTATAAAAGGTATACAGCTTTTTTAATTGAATTCTGTTAGTGAGTAGCTTTTGTACCCTAATTTAGACAAGCAAAATACAGGGGGTTGGCAAAAGTAGGTTTACAGCTGTGAATATGTGAAACACAGAGTTTATTCTTGTATTATTATTTTATTATTTACCATACAAACAACTGTAAACATTCTTTTGCCCACCCCATGTTATACTGAAATTTCATTAATATGTTGTGTTTGTAGTTGAAGACAATAATTAACATTGATTTCATTTTTTCTAGTGTGCTAAAACATTTATAAACCTGATGACTCATATCTCCAAAGAACAGACAGTTCAGTACATATTAACTATGGTCGATGATATGTTGCAGGTAGGTATAGTCTTTACTTAATACATTTGGTGACTTCATCTTTTTGTGTACTGCACAGTGACAACATTTTTGTAAGCTTTCACTTACAACACTGGTTCTCTTTTAGAATGTAATAATATATTTTTCTTCGTTATGTGAGTTGTAATTTGCTAAGAGTGATAAAGATGGGAAAGATGAAAAATACAGGCTATTTTTGTTGTTTTTCAGTACAGGAAGTAATCCATAGGCATTTTTCCTCCCGCAACACCTCTGAGTTCTTTGTGAGCACCAGTAATGTTTGGTGAGTCACTTGAGGCTTTTTGGATGTCTGAGTAATTACAGATGATATGGGTCCTTCTCTTCCAGTCATTCAGCAGGTTTCTATGCCCCTATGTTCCAGGCCAGTGTGAGGCCCTGAGTCTTCAGTGCTGAATGTAGGCAAGGTTCTTGCCCTCAAAAGCATGGTCCTTTTGAAGACGTTTTGCTAATCGTCTGAGACTTTTCTAGTTGGATAAAGTTTTTACTTACTGCCTACTGTCCCTGAACACAGAAGAGCCTCCTTTATTCACAATTTTGTATTTCACACCAGAGTATAATCTAGGTTTAGATTATTGGCGTATAGAGTAGTTCTTTTTGAAACAGGCTGTTTGGCTGTAAAATCCAATGCCTGTCTTCATGTCTTAGGAAACTTGAAGAAGAGTGTCCGTCTGGCTGCTTAGGGGCTGTTCTGTCAGTTTATAAGGAAAAACATATTTTGATGGCCTACTATGTGCCAAGCACTGTACTAACAGATTGAGAATACAAAGGTTAGGAAGAATGGTGCTGTCTACCTATGGGCCATCATGTCATCTATTGGGAATGAAGTGATTTTATAATGTGAGAATTGATATCCAACCTTGGGTGAAGCAGGCCTGTCTGAGAATGACCTTGGTCCTCTGAGCACTTTTTCCTTTAAAAAGTAAAGTAAAGAAAAATGGGGAATGTTGTGGTCTGCCTCGGCTATCCAGATTATTATGTGGGACTATACCTAGAATGAGGAGGCTGTGAGATTTATTCTACCCAATAATATAAAGAAAGTAATTTTTTTTACTTATATAGCTGTGAAAAACAAAATCTTTTCCTAGAGTTCAGTGTTTGTTTGCAGTATTTTATCTTTAAACTGCAGGTATGTAGGTCAGAGTATTGTGCTCAATTTTTGTTCAGAGTGGTTAAATTATTTTTCTTTAAATACATTTGGATTCATTTGTTTGTATTCTGCTCTAGTTTTTTTCTCATCTTTGTTTATTTTATTTTACTATTTTTGATTATGTAAAACATTAATATGCTTCCAGAAGTTAAAAACTATATGCAGAAAAGTATACTCAGAAATATCACCAACCCCTATCCCATCCCTTGTACCCCATTCCCACCTATCTCTTGTGGGTAACCAATATCCTAGATTTCTGGTTTATTTTTCCTGCTTTTCTTTTTTGCAAACATAGGTAGGTACATGTGTATTTTCTTATATTCTCTCTTTTTTTAAAAAATACAAAAATATGTACTTTGAGAAGAAGGGTTTTATCCATATTTTCTTAAAGGTTTGTAACTAGGGCTCCTGGGACAGTGATGGCTGGAAATACATTGTGGTGGTTTTTTTTTTTTAAATGTTTTTATTGATTTCAGAGTGAGGAAGGGAGAAGGAGTGAAGGATAGAAACATCAATGATGAGAGAGAACCATTGCACGCCCCCTACTGGGGATCAAGCCTGCAACCCAGGCATGTGCCCTGACCCGTGTCTTCCTGGTTCATAGGTCAACACTCAACCACTGAGCTACGCTGGCCAGGCTGGCAATACATTTTTAAGCAGGAATTGAGACCACAAAAGACTGGTAGAGGAAGATGGGTTTTAAAGTTATTTAAAATGTATAAAATATTTTCTGCTCTTTATGTATGTAAGGTACTTTGTTCATTTACACGCACAATTAAAATTTTAACTTTGGAAATTATCTACCAATGGAGTTAATGATGACCTGAATTTTGAGTCCTTTCATAAAGTCATCAGCATAACCATTTTCATTGTTACTCTAGATTATAGTGTTTATTATTTAAGGAATGGTAGTCTGTCCCTCAAATGGGGTAACTGTTAGTACAGACCAAAATTGAAATCAGGGTGTTTAAAAAGAATTAAATACTGATCTGAAAATTAAAATGATTGTGTGGTTGTTTGTGCTTTTACCAAATATTGCTACTTAGAAACCACACTGAGTGAACCAGAAAGTGTATTTTAGCCAATAATATGCAGAGAAAATTTAGGGGAGAGGTAGAGTTTGCATGATTTGAACTAAGAAATAATTGTTTCTCAATTCCTAAATCCACTTGCTAGTGTGAAATACTGTTTTTTGGCTCTCTTTATGTACCCTGATTTTTCTATCATGATATTCTAAGAGTAACTTTGCACATTTGAGATTTCTCTAATACTCCATTTCCCTTGCCTGCTTGTACATAGCATGAGATTCTTCCCGCCGATCCTTTCATCTACAGCTAACTTGTGATCTTTCTGCCCTCTTCCTATTTTGTTTGTGTGGCAGCAGGGTAGAGGGGAAGTCGGTCAGCAGCGCAGGCTGAGAAGAAAGTAATTTAGAATGCTACACTTTGCAGGGCTGGGGTCTGCTGTCTTGACTCACTTGAATTAAACTAATCATAATAATAGGTAATTTTATTTTTAAAATACCCCTGCCCCCAGCAATATTCCCCCGCCCCATAATAATAACCTCAGGGAGGCAAATCTCATACACACTGGAAAAAGAAAACAAACGAATTGATGGGACATAAAATAAAATGTTGAGTAGTAGTGCATGGTTGCCACATTCTTTAGGAAAATACATTCTGATTAGTGACATCATTCCTTTTCTTTTCTAGGAAAATCATCAGCGTGTTAGCATTTTTTTTGACTATGCTAAACGAGGCAAGAACACTGCCTGGTCCTACTTTCTGCCAATGTTGAATCGCCAGGATCTCTTTACTGTTCATATGGTAAATTTGAATTGATCAAATGTCTGGTTTAGGGAAGAAACACACCTGGGCCATTTATGACTTGATAACCTCCCAGTTCCCAGAGGAGTAATTGGTGTGGTGACTTTGCAAAGCAGTGTTTTCTTATTGGTGTTTAATAATGTGGGGATAAGGGGAAAGTAAAAGATAGGTTTGCTTTGATACAGTTAACGTTTTGTAGAGTGTAATGATGAGTCAGAATAATAGCCTTGTAATTGATGTGCAAATGCCTCTGGACATCTGTGACAGGTTTAACTGAATTTTACTTTAGAAACTAAATTTTGCTTTGAAGCAGCTATTGTGTTTAATTTTAATTAATTTATTTTTTATTTTTTCAATTAGCAATAATCGCACCTCGATAAACCTCATTGGCTACGATACTGCCACTGTGTAAAGCTTTAATTTTTATTTTAATTAAGCAATTACTTAATTGCTTTGTAACATTTTTGAATACAATGCTGTTTTAAACTTAACATTGAAGAATTATTTAAGGAGCATGTGGAGATGTATGAGAGGAGGGTTGAGAGAATAAGTCTTTGACCAAGCCTTTCTATTCTCAGCGTGGAGTGAGCCATGGGGTGGGAGAGCTCCTGAGGTTGCTCATCTTATTAGATGCCTTTAAGCTTTCCAAGTCAAAAACACTGTCAGTGAAACAATATTGAGCATATGAATTCTCTCTCTCTTCTTATATATCCATATTCATTTATGTACAAATGTACTCATATATTGTATATATTTTAACAATGACAAGAGAAATAAAAAAGGGGGACTCATGAAATAAACTACATTTTAAATAATAATTTTAAAAAATAATGTATTTTATTTTTTCAAATTGTAGAGGCTCGTTTTCACTATCTGGATACTGGTTTAAAAATCTTCCTAATATTGATGGTTTTATAATAAAATTGACAAATATTTTAAAGACCAAATCTAAAGTTAGGGTAAAGTTCATCATTATTAATTGTGTAGCCAAATCCATGTTTCAATTTCTTTATGATTTTAATTACTTTTGGGTAATCTTTACAGTTTTGAGGGTCAGATTGTTATTGGTTTATCACATGCAGATGAAGGAGCTTTATGCCAGGAGTAGAACCCTTAGGTCTTTCTCTCTCTTTTTTAATACATTTTTTATTAATTTCAGAGAGGGAGAGAGATTGAAACATCAATGATGAGAGAGAATCATTGATTGGCTGCCTCCTGCACTCCTCCTACTGGGGATCGAGCCCAAAACTTGGGCATGTGCCCTGACCGGGAATCGAACTGTGACCGCCGGGTTCATAGGTCGATGCTCAACCACTGAGCCACGCCAGCCAGGCATCCTCAGGTCTCTTGTCCCTTTGTCTTTGCCATTTTGATTGTGCTTACATTGCTGATTATATTTTCAACTCCTGGTTTCCTTACAGGAACCTTTTCAAGCCACTTATCTATTTTGTGGAAGTTAAGTCAGTTTAAAATAGGTAATGTATCTGTAAATTTACTTAGATAGGCACATGAAAATGTCAGTATGTCAACTTAGTGAATTAGTTGAGGTACTCCTGTTAGCCCTCCATGGTGTAGAATTCCAGATATGTCATGACACTTGAATATTTATTTGACCTGCTGACCTTAAAAGCGTGCCTCCATCACCTGGCTCAGCTGTATCCAAGTATAAGAACAAATATCAATCCATCAGCATAGGAATTATTTGGGAGTTAGCTAACCTTAGCCTTCTGTTTCCTACTAGGATCAATTATCGCTGAATAATTGGAGTTTTGAAACAATGACTTGCTTTCAGAAAGTTCTAAAAAAATATAAAATTGGATTTGTGTGTGGAGAAGTAGTATTTTACACTGCCTATTTTGTTTGTACATATACATATATATATTCAGACTTATTGTGTAGTTATTCAGGTATAATTGACAAATAAAATTATAAGATATTTAAGTGTACAACATAATGATTTGACACACATATACTTATAATACCTATTTAATAAAAAAAAATCATGATTGGTTTTATAGTTTGAAGAAAATTGAGAAATCTTTGAGTGAGGAAAACAGGGTATATTTTTGTATATCAAGAGAAATGGCTGTTTAATACTAGGATAAGTTTTATACCAAGATAAAGATTTTAAGTGTGAGAACTCACAAGCGGCTTTTAAGGTACTGGCTGGCAATTTGTTCTAGATTGCTCAGGACTGGCAGGTGATTTGGTGAAAGTCTGCTGCTAGAAGGATTTCTGTGTTCTTTGGATTTTTGCTCGTCTTATAATGAATCCCAGTCTTACTTTTGAAACTCAGAATAATATAGAGAATGTCATGAAATTTTTAATTTAACTAATTTTGGTTCACATTATTGGAAATATTTGAAAATACATTTTAACTATATTTAAAAATACATTTTAAAAAATGAAGTATAAACTATTTTTGGAGGAGTTGAGTGTTAAAAAAATACAGCAAAATGGTTACAAGTTCTGGTTTTTAAGGTATATGATGTGATTTTTAGAATCAATATAGTATTCAACTGTATTTCTTGTTTTTTTAGGCAGCAAGAATTATTGCCAAGTTAGCAGCTTGGGGAAAAGAATTGATGGAAGGCAGTGACTTAAATTACTATTTCAATTGGATAAAAACGCAGCTGAGTTCACAGGTAAAAGACATTTCTTTTAGTATCTTTGCAAGGAATGTAACATCTATTCTCTCTCAAGCTATTTATGGTAATTATGGGAAATGACAAAAAGAGTCATATATTAAAATAATGCCTACTCTTAGGTATGGTACTCGGCTTCACTTTTTCTTTCTTTGACTGGCTTCAGCTCCACCCTTTCTGTCCTTTCTGCCACTTGGGATTTTCCGTTCTAGATGGAAGTACCTTCTTTCTAGGTGGCTGCCAAGATCACACAGGTCGGAGGATTGAGAGGATCCACACAACTCCAAAGAGCATACTCCTGTAAGGCGTATGTGACAGGAAAAGAAGCTGCATCACGGAGAGAGTGCAGGCAAACTTTGGGGCTGAGAGACTTTCAGGGGCGGCACGCACATCTGTCTTAGGCCTCTGGACCACCAACTGTGGGAGAAATCTTGGCTTTGGGAGAGCTCTCCAGATATTTCTAGGGGATCTTTCATGCCCTTTTAGTCACTTAATCAGGCTGACTGTCTAAGTAGTTACACCAATAAACACATTGGCTTTGGGTGCCACCAGGGAGTTTCAAACTGTAAACAGCACTTTATACATCATTAGTTAATCCTCTCATTCTAGTCCTGGCCAAGAGTCCAATTCAGGTTTCTAGGCACTCCTGGGTAAGCATGGAGCTGCTGGCCCAGCTGTGAGATAGCCTCACAGTGACTCCTCAGGATTTCACTGTATCCTTGTGGGATTGGGCATTTAGGTCTAAGGTTAAATATGAAGCCTGCTTATTGGCAGTCTTGTTGCTTTCAGACCTCTCTAGCTCTACTTCCCATGGAGGAAATAGCTTGCTGGCTTAATGGCTGGGAAAACGACAAGTTTTCTGTTTTTGTCTTCATAGTTCCCTAGAACAGGGCAAAAGACAAGATACTTATGATGGCTTAGTGGAGTGTTTCTTTTATGCTTCCAGTATTAGGTGGCAAGGGGGAGACTTGGTGGGAATGGTCATCAGAAAAGGAGTGAAATGAAGGAGGAGGGGAGGAGTATTCTGGGGAAGAAAAGGTAGAAGAGAATGAGATTTGGGTGTTGGGCTGGTTTACATGAAGGAATGGGCCAGGAGAAGTAATACAGGAGAAGCAATATTGGTTGCTATTGTGTTGTAAGTGTTAGAGTTCAAATAAATGTCTATTTGAAATACATTTTTGGAAAGTTGACATTTAGATTTCAGCAACTGTTATTTTAATAGATTTTAAGTTGAAGCATAAGGGAGACACCAGGATATTTGGCTTAGATTGATTTTTTTACTTATTGCCTGCCTTTTGGGGGGAGCCAAATCGCTTTATATTTGGATAGGGCTATTTTGGAGTGTCTTTAATTTTTTTTTGTCAGTAGCATAAATATTAACACTTTTTGGCTTAGTTTTAAAAGTATTTTTACAAGAGCCACAAATATAGATTTTAGTGAGTTTGTGAGGCATTTAAAAAACCAATATATTTAGAACATGAAAATATTTTACAGTTTTTTTGATGTATTTCATTTGAGATCAGAATACTTAGTTAAATAGGTACATCCCCATTTTTTTGTGTGTATTTGAATTTACTTTTTCTTTGAGCAAACTTCATTCTGCTTTAGTGTTAGCTTTATGGTATAGTGGTAATGGGGTTCTATTGTAGCTGGATTCATAAAATGAGAATTGGCAGGAAAAAATGTGTAGTTTGCCACTACACATTTTGGGTTGTTTCATCTTAGACTTTTCTTCATAGGAATAACATTTATATTGTGTCTCAGATGATTAGTCATTTTTGGAATGATTAACTATGGTTGTAATCTTGCTGAGCAACTGGGGGGGAAATATTTCCTTCTTTAAATGTTTTTTTTCCCCAGTTTTAATTCTTTTTCTTTTTTTTTAATAAAAAAATTTCAATGTTGACACAATTGCAGGTGTCCCCTACTCCCCCACCCTTTGCCCACATCCACCCACCCCTGTCTCCCTCTCCTTTGGTCTTCACCAAACAAACTATTGTCTGTGTTCATGGGGAATGCATATTGATTTGAGAAAGAGAGAGGGAGAGGGAGAGAGAGAGAGAAAGAGAGAGAGAGACAGAGGGACATTGATTTGACTCATTGGTTGACTAGGTGGACTCGTGAATGTGCCGAGAGAGAGAGAGAGACAGACAGACAGACAGACACATTGATTTGACTCATTGGTTGACTAGGTGGACTCATGCATGTGCCTTGACTGGGGATCAAACCTGCAAGGTTGGCATATTGGGATGATTCTCCAACTAACTGAGCCACCCAGCCCGGGTATATGGGAAATATGTCTGTTATCACTAGTGGGAGCAAATATTTCAATGTCTAGAACTGTTTTCATTAGAAGTGGTATTAGATAAATGCTCTTAAAGACCTTTCCAGTATCTTTCTAGAGTACTTTTTATCACTGAATCTTTGGCTTTGTTTACGGGATAGCATTTCTGCTTTGCAAGTCCTTCTGCTTACAGAATGACTCTTCAGGGTTCCCAGGCCCAATCTGGCTTTGCTTCACAGAGTCTGGTCACTGCTTCTGCTAGGCCCTGGATGGCACTCTCTCTGTTACTGTGGGCAGCCACCTCTTCCATAGTGTTCTATCAGATTTAAATTATAGACTTCTTGTTAAAAGAAAGAAACATAGGATTATTTGGGATTTTATTTTCTACCTTGCTTAAATGTCATTTGATAACACTATATCTGGAAGGTCTCTTTTTCTTCAATGGGTTTTCTCTCTCAAAAAGGGACCACATTTTATGATTCTAATAGAAATAAATTTCCAAAAGTCCAGATTAGTTGAAAATTTGGATATTTTATTCTTTGATTTATAGCAACATTTAGGAGTATTATACTTGGTTATGGGGGTATGACACTTAGTAGATAATAGTTATTGCACAAAACAAAATAAAATTTCCATTCTGAAATTTATTATCACTTTTCTTTTGCATATTCAGCCTTTAACTTTCTACCTTAAAATTTCTTTGGTCATTTCTATATAACATGTAAGATTTTGATTTTCATTGTAACTTGTTAGCATTGTTGTGATAACTGAATTTTAAGTTCTGTGTGGTATCTTCCCATCATTAGGTACCTATTTCAAAAACTTGGCACAGAATATAGGGTGGATAGCTCAGCTTAAGACAGTTATCTTATTGGATAAACAATTTAGTAAGTAAATCCTGAGACTTGGAAATTTGTGCCAGCTTCATTCATGAAATTTAGTTGGAGCTTAGTATTCAGCTTACTATTGTTCCATATTTTATAATATATTGACTAAGATATTATATGGATGAGTATTATGATATTTAGAATATTTCATATCATCCCCATTCTTTTTATTAGTTGATACTCCATTAAGTAGGATTAGGAAAAAAATTATAAAATTTGCTTAGCTCCCTTTCATACACTGATAAATTAGGATAAAATTAAAAACAAAACTAAGTAATAAGTTATTTATTTTGTAATAGAAACTGCGTGGTAGCGGTGGTGCTGTTGAAACAGGAACAGTCTCTTCAAGTGATGTAAGTACATTCCTTCTTAATTCACTAGCCTCCTAACGCCCTGAATCTAAGTTATTTTGAGTCATAAACATTTAAAATTTTGAAGATGTTTACCAGTGCCCCAAATGTAAATTCATGGGTTTGATGTCACCTCCAGTTAGGTTAATGGTATTGTAAACACTGTATTTTAAATATTTATGGTCTCTGGTGAGCACTGTTCTGTGGGTACACATGAGACTTGTGCTTCCCTGTTGCTCTTCTTGGGCCACTTTGTGTCAGACCTGAGAATCAAAGCAAGAGTGAATTCAGATACGCAGCTGGAGCAAATACTCATAACATTACTCTCTTCAAGCTTCAGTTGTCTGATAAACTAATATCTTTCTAATAGATGCGTGAACATTGCATCAAGCAGTTGAAAACAGTTCAATAACCTTATGCACTAAAATTTGCTGCTTGCACTGTGTTGCTCAAAGCTTTATGTGGGGCTACATGGTGGGCAGAACCCCTTTCCCCCCTTGGTTGGACCAATCTCTCCCCATATTTTTGTAGAGCCAAAACTTAAAAGTTAAAACTAATCATGTTTCTCAAGTTCCTTTTTGGTTATAGCTATTTTCCCCATTTGGGATTGGTTTAACTTTATTGTACTCAGAATAGCACCAAAACTGGCAATAAGTTTGGACAATAGGGCTGGAATGATTGGAACCAGTTGAGAGAAAAATAAGGGGACAAAGGTTAGAAATGTAGGTGAAGTGCATCTAGCTTCATTTGTTGGAAACATCTCTGAAAACCTGGAAAGCATCGTTAGAGGATAGTGTCTACAGCCTGCCTGTAAGAGACCTAAATGAAGCTCTGTAGAAGACATTGAATGTCCATATTAATTACTGATAACTTCGTATTTTACATGGAACATACCTGTAGGTATTCTCTGAGATTATAGATGGCAGCAGAACCCACTTTCAAAGTCAGAGATGAGGCTTCTCTTGGGGCATGGGTTGAAGGATTTATCAAATAGAGTGTTAGGCCAGAAAGTGGCCATTAGCCTTCTGAAATGAAGTCAGAACAAGGTGTAGAACTAGATGAGTAATCTTGGGGCCAGGGTGGTGGGAAGTGGTGGGTAGTGTGTTAGGAAGTTCAGGGTAGTGTGTTAGCCTTCCTTTGATATTTATATTTTAATAGGGAAATCTGAATTGGTAGCCAATACTTACTGAGCTTTTACTGACATTGTTTTAGTTATTTTATATTTACATCTTCTTGAATATTTTGCACTCCTTGTTTGATATAGGTTTTAATATTAGCCATGTTTTATGGATATAAATAGTAAGGCTGTGCAGAAAGGCATACCAGCTTGCCCAAGATCATTCAGCTAATGAGTGGCAAAAACCTCAAAGAAATGAATTGCTTACTGAGAGAATTACTTTTGAGGTGACTGGAGTTGGATCTTTAGGCATTCCTGTCTCATAGCCTATTCAGATTTGTGAAAACATCCACATTACCTCTTAAAATCCCTTTAGTTTTCAGAGAGCATAGACAAGCAGTTCGGTAAACTGCATTACATGTTATCGCCACTTGATGTCAGTATAGAACAAATTAAAAAAGGTTTACACTGCAAAATGAGAGATAAATATGACCTAACAGTCTTAACTTTTAAAATTGTCATGGAAACATCATAAGTTATGAGTGGATTATTACAAACATTTTTATTACATAAGTGGAATTTTCTTAAGAGGAATACTATGATCTCTCAGAAATTTGGAGGCTTTAGAAAGAATCTGGGAATTTTTTATTTGTTTGTTTTGCCTGATCTTGAATTTCATGTAAGTGGAATCATATGCAGTATGAAGTCTTATGTGTTTGAGTTCTCTTGCCCAGGATTGTGTCAATGAGATTCATTCATGTTGCATTTAGTAGCAATTCATTCTTTTTATTGGTATGTAGTAATCTGTTAAATGAACGAATATACTGTATATTCGTAAAATATACTATTTTATTGCTATATAAATATCCATTCTCTATTGATGGATATTTGGGTTACTTTTAGTTTTTGACTATTCTGAATAATTTTGCTATGGATATTTTTGTATATATATAT